ATACATGATTTTATGTACGATTGCGACTGGTTTTTGTTAAAAATCGAAAAAATTCAATGAAAAAATTAAAATTCGGGTAGGTATACCTGTTTCACCTTGGGAGGTTGTCAGGTAGTCCAGGTAGGCAATAAAGTAGCACTTTATTTTACTAGTAAAATAAAGTGCTATTTTATTGACGCAAAACTGTTTTATAAATAGCACTTTATTGGTCAATCGGACATAAAAAAGATTACCAATACAAATTAAGTATAGCAACCTAGCACTGATATAACTGCTCATTCATCTTAATAAATATATAGAAGTGGATCAGGTTCAGTATGGTTTCGTCAAACATAGCAGTACCTTTGGTGCGACTGTAGACCTTGTTGACTATGTATCTAGGGCACTGGATGAGGGGCTTTTTGTGATTGCAGTTTTTGTTGATTTGAGAAAGGCCTTCGACGTAGTTAGCACTGACATTTTACTGAGAAAGCTGTATTGTATGGGATTTAGAGAGACATTATATAATATAATTTAAACCTACCTAGAGGGTAGAAGGCAGTACGTTAGGTTGGGTAATGTAAATAGTGACATGTTGATAAGTGAGTGCGGGGTACCTCAAGGTTCCGTCCTTGGTCCCCTTCTATACTCACTATACGTACTGAATTTGAAATTGGCTGGCATTGGAGCACAGTACTATACTTTTGCCGACGATACTGTCTTAGTCTTTAAGGGGGGTGAGGAGAAGGTACTAAACAATACAGTTAATGTAGATCTTAATCTCTATTTAAGTTGGCTATATTGTAATAAACTCAAAATAAACATAGATAAAACAAAATTCATAACATTTAAACAAAAAAACAAACAAATGCAAAATTTAAAAATTCGAATTAATAATCTAGATATTGAAGAGGTACAACACATAAAATACTTAGGCCTTTTAATTGATAATAAATTGAACTGGTCAGAACATATTGAATATAACTACAAAAAAATAATGCCAATGATACCAATAATATACAAATGTAGAAATTACCTCACTGATAAAACTAAACTCAGTATTTATAATGCCTTTTTCCTTTCTCACCTTAGATATTCATTGCCAGTCTGGGGAACATGCTGTAAAACTAGTTTCAACACAGTTCAAATACTTCAGAACAAAATTTTGAAAATATTATTTAATTATGATGCACTAACTAGCACAGACAAACTGTATAGCGAATTAAATATTTCTAGACTTGATGTAGTATTGGAGTTTGAACAAATTAAATTGATTTATAAAATATTAAACAAAACACAGAATTCTATTATAAGCTTTGCAATGAATAATGATGTACATTGTCACATTACTAGATATCAGAATAATATTTATCAAATAAACACACGAACAAATATAGGACTAAATAACCCTTTTTTATTTTTATTTTTAGGAATATAGGATAGGTATTGTTAAAATTAAGTAAATTTTTAAGTGTCCAACACTTATATACATATAATTTTAAGTATTCTCGAGGCCAGAGCTATATAGGCACTGTTTAGAGAATTTATTGTAAACAAATATGATATCAATTGGTGTGAAATAATAGTTATTTATTATACAAGACGGTAAAAAGATGCTTTACCTGTGAGTGGAAAATGTTGATTCACGAGCGACGAAGGAGCGAGTGAATTAATTCCACGAACAGGTAAAGCTTTTTTACCATCGCGTCTAATATTCTATTTTATTCTTGAGCAACTTCTTATTTATCACAATTACTAAAATCATAAACTAAAATGTGCTAAAATTTTACATAGATTATGACAAGTTGACAAAGTACCTAACAAACTGACACATTTCTGGTGTTGTCAATCATGCAACATAACAGATTTCTGTCAAAAATACTATAATTATAATAAAAAATTTGAACAAGTGGATAAAATTGACGTATGAGTGGGTAAAATTGACGTATGAGTGGGTAAAATTGACATATGAGTGGGTAAAAATTGTTCGATTTCACTACTTCAAATAAAGTGTTACTTTAACAACGAGTTTTGAGTCGATTAAATGATAGTTTACCATTAGCGATAGAATAAAGATATTTGAAAAAATCTTTTTGACTATAGTCCGTTCATAAAGTCTATAGACTTTATCAAGAGCGTGATCTGAGATTTTGGACGCTGATTGGCTTGATTTTGGGGTCTCACTCACTAGGGATTGGGTTAATCGTTTAACATAGACTTCAGTGAATTGGATATATTTCTCAACATTCAGTCATTGGAGACTAGGAGGTCAAATCTAGATGTATTATTCGCACCCAAAATTCTGCATCGTTCTATAGATTGCTCGGAACTTCTTTGTCAACTTGACTTTCACGTTTCCCCACAATCATTAAGAAATCATAAAAGTTCTCAAACGCAGCAGCATCGAACGTGTTATGGTCGAAACGTCGAAACACTGTGGTAAATAGAACATGGAGGGTTGCAACAATATTGATGTTGGTCTGTTTGAAGTCTCTGAGCTTTCATTGAGAAATGTGTTGAGGAGGCAGTATTTTTGTATTTGTATATGTATTTTGATTGTAATACCTACCCAACTGTTGTGGTGCGCCTATCTGGGTCAAGGTTTAGGAGTACTACTTATTGTATTAATTGTATTTCTGTTAGTACTAGAATTATTATTATAGATGCCTACCATGTAAATAATGGGGCTTCCGTTAAATAAATAAATAAATTGAGCGCTGGTCGCCCAAGTCGACCCCCTTTTGGCCAATCAGCGTCCAAAATCTCAGATCATGCACTCGAAAAAGTCTATAGACTATATAAACAGGCTCTAGAATTGTAAAGACTAACAGGTGTGAATGCTCTTTACAAGGTGTCTTTCGCATTACCTTATATCTTTTTCTAGTAAACGTTTGGGTTTTGGTGTGAGTAGTGGCATTCCATCAGAGGTTTCCTATGGGAGTGAAAGTATAGCTGGCTGTCAGGCCTTTGGAAGATACCGAGGAAAATACTTTGGCTCCATTTTTCAAGAACCAAATAATTTGAATATATTGAACTGTCAAGGGACTTTTTCTTTTTCGAGAATAACAGAAGAGCAGGTTCTACAGAGAATAAAAAAATTAGAGCCAAAGAAGGCGACGGGTTGGGATGGTGTACCAGCCTCTCTTTTCAATGGATATGCAGGGGCTCTATCTGTGCCTCTTATGCTCTAATGTATAACCTGTCAATTGAACAGGGCAAATTTCCTAGTATCTTGAAGCATGCGGTTATTACTCCCATATACATATCCGACAATCCTAGCTGTGTCGAGAACTATAGGCCTATAAGTGTTCTGAACTCACTCAGTTCACAAAATATTTGAGAGATTGTTTTATGATAATATTTTGCTTTTCTTTAGAGACAGCTTCTCCCCAGAACAGCATGGTTTTTTGCCGGGAATGTCTACTGTCTCAAATCTGTATGTTTTTGAAAACACGCAGAAGCTATTAATCGCAAAGCTCAGCTAGATGTCATTTTGACGGACTGTACCAAAGCCTTTGACAAGAGGGATCACTCTGTAGTGATTCTGTACTTATATCCTATTCACAATCCGTAGTCCAAAGGTACAGGTAAATGTATCACCTTTTCCTATCAAAAGGTGATAAATTTTACCTTTACCTTTAAACATCGGATTGTGAATAGATAATATTTAATAATTGAGCAAATTCAACTTTGGTGTTGAGGCATGTATTTATGTGAGGTCATATCTTTCTGGCAGGTTAAACCAGGTTAGAGTGGGAAAAAGCCTGTCTGAGTCTTTTGTATCTATGTTGGGTGTGCCCCAGGGTAGCAATTTGGGTCCCCTTCTCTTTGCTATATTTATTAATGATGTGTTAAATACTCAAAAAGCCTTCTATTTGCGGATAATTTCGAAATTTTTAAAGATATCTCAACATTGCAGGACTCACAGGAGCTACAATCCAATTTAGATTCGACTTGTCAATAGTTCAAAGATAATAAAATAATGCTCAACACTTCTAAATGTCATGTTTTTACAATAACACGAAAAAAACAACTTTTAGAGAACGAATACATTCAACAAAATTTTAAATTCAATGAGCACTATCAGATTATTTTTGGAAAGGCATACAGAACACTTGGTTTCATTATCCGGAACTCGAAGTATTTCAAAAGAACTGAAACAGTTATACTATTGTACAATGCACTAGTAAGACCTCACTTAAAATATGTATCTGTCATATGGGCGCCGAAAGCCGAATCCAGCAGTGATCTGATAGAAAAAGTTCGGAAAAGATTCCTGAGATTCCTCTAAACAAAGTTTAATGTTTACCCATATATGATCTCTTATAATAGCATGTTGACTTGTTTTATTCTCTCTCGGCTGAGCCATAGAAGAAATATGCATTTAGCCCTATTTGTTTATAACATAATAAATAGCATTAAGTATAGTATTTATAAAGTCAGTTGAAACAAGGTAAAGGTTTATTACAACTGGTGACTAAATATTTTCAAAAGAAATGCACTGCCACTAGTCAGCCACCAGTTACAAATTACCTTTACCTTGTTTCAACTGACTTTGTTAATACTATACATATATCCTGTTCACAACCGATAATAGATTGTTCCTTGATAAATAGTATTAATTTTTTTGTCCCGAAGGTGCACTTATGGATTAGCAACTTCGGACTGTTTTTTACCAATAAGTCTGATTGTTCAACAATGAACAAAATGTTAGGAGAATGTAATATTGTGATAGAAAAATGTGATATAGACTTTTTTAGTTCCTTGCTAAGTGAGATCAAACTTGCTCTTGAAGCTAACTGTTAGTCTTTTAAAATTGTTTTACCATATTGTATGTTGATGTAGTAGTAGAAAATATACGTACCAGAAGAAATCAAATCAAAAATTGCTACCAAGTATATTGATGATAAAAAACAAAAAATTTCAACTATTAAAGTTTTATTTTAAACATACATACACATTATCAAAATTTGTATAAAAAGTATAAGTAAAACTTCAGTAAAATTAAAACATCTTGGACGGAAAACTTAACTTTCACTACTAGTATCAGTATCAATAGTACACAGAATAAAATGTCCTTAATTTTAACTTAAAACTATAGTAAAAACTCTATAGTAGACGCTAGATATCAGGAGCAAAACTGAAAGTTTTTTGCCTAAAATCTGGACAAACGATACATGTCCAGAAAACCCAAGTTATGCTGTATTTAGGTATAAACTATTTATGGCATTATAAGCTAAACACAGCAAACAAGTTCAATTTTAAATGATCAATTTGTAAGTTCGGCATTTCTAAATAAATGTAGTTGAAATTATCGTGAATGAAAGCAGCCTTATTTGCAGCTTCTACCTCAATTCCTAATTAAATAAATTCAAAATTTATTAAACTAATGGCAGTCATAACAGTTAAGCTGGATAACTTATTACAGCTATTACTACAACTTGGCCGATATTCCACGTCTAAAAATACAAAGCATGGATGTTGCAAATTCAATGCTCCTGAAACTGAACTGAAATCAGATTTGCAACATTTGGTACAATTTTATCCTATAATGTTTAGGGATAACAAAAATATACACTGTAGGTAATATTTTTTTTGTGCATAAGATCATTTTCCTAAATCTCATAAGCCTTTCTAAAAGCCTAGTCAAGTTTCAATAAAGGTAAATTTAAGAAAAGTAGCTTAATTATTGTCACCAGAACGTGACATTCTGTAAAGCATGAAAAAATCCTATTCCGATTGCACTATTTTTGAAGCCAAAACTGTACTTACATACAGCGAAATAAACTATCTAACTTTTTTAATTGACTGTGTCAGGGATTTTTCTTAAAATGGATTTTAATAAACTAGACCTAAATTCTTAAACATCTAAATTAATATTTTGATTTCAAATTGTAAAGCTCAGGTACCTACGTCAAATTTTGATGTATTAAAAATATAAATGATGGATTTCAAGTATTATTTTTGTCTTATTTTACAAGTAAGTGGAATTTGACATTTACACATGCTTAAACTTAACATCCTTAGTTCCTAATATTACACATTCATAATTCAATTTCGCTTTGGACGGTCTGTATTAATATGAGATTTGCTTGATATTCACATTTCAAATGGAATAGTTATTTTCCAAATCTCATATTATCAAATCACAACTTTTATATTACATGATTACATTAGACAAGGCACACATTTAAAAAAGGCCACTGAAAATCCACAGTAATATTTACAGTCTTTTGTATGAGAGATTCTAATATTACCTCTGTACTAAACCTCCAAAAGAGACCATCAACAAAATCAGAACAATCAAAAAATTTGCTTGTATACTACTAGCTCCTGCCAATCGACATCTAAACATGTCAAATCTTGATTGATTATCATCCACCAGGTTGCTAAACTCAGCTTCAACGAGTTGCCCGTCATAATAAGTAATTGGATCTTCGAATGGGTATTCGAAACCTTGCTTGCATTCGCACTTGTATCCTCCAGTTTCAAAACCTCTGCCCAAAATAGGAACACACTAAAAATATTTAAAATTGTTCACAGTTTTTTAAATTGTATATTATTTTCTTACATAAGATGTTTGCTGGTCACATTTATGTGTATCCTTGAAGGCATTGTGCACATAATATTTATCTGGACATTGGTTCAAGTCTAATTTCAACATATCCATTGTAACTGCTACAGCTCCCCTAAGAAAACATTGAATCAAATCTTTGGTTTTTTTTTTGATAAAAAATGATTACTTACTTGAATTCCAATTTTGCTTTCAAACTATCCCATCCAAAGAACGGTGCCACATACTTAATTTTCCACATAGGCACTTTTCCATAACAATCATAATAAGGTGCCGTCCAATGTCCATGATCCAACTTGGCTCCTTTGTAAAAATTTGGAAATTTTTCATATTTCCTAGTGGTCTCTCCAGTTTCATTGAAACGCAAACGAATTTTTAGCCAAAACTTTTCCAAACTGTCAAAGTTAGAAGCCCATCTGTGCTTCAAGTTTTTAAACCAAGGTTCATTGAGGTAAACTTCTTGGGATTTGTTCAAGCGAGCCAAATCTTCAAGATTGAATTTTCTAGTGTTCAGTTGACGTTTGTACGCGTAGGGGGCAAATAATGTTTTGTTGGTGAATTTATTTCTTTCCCAATAGGTTCCAGCCGACCAAATACGACTGTTACCTAATATTATGGCCAACGTTTCTCCTATCATTTGATCTTCTGTTAGGGGTTCGTCAGCTATTTGTTTGCCTGAAAAAATTTCTTGATGGTCAGACACTTGAAGGAAGGCACTTATGAAGTTTGCCAATCTTAAGGCCATTCTTGCTTCATTTTCAAAGAATTCTTCCGCTCCAAACATTACACCTGAAATTAGGATTTTGATTGCATTGTAATTTTATTAATTTTTGTAATTACCTCCATGTAAAATTAGTTCATCTGGTTTGTATTTTTTGCATGTTTCTTTATTCATTCCCAAAATGAAATCTAAAGCTTTGTGGATGTTTATTACGGGTTGGTTTAAAGAATTGGGTCCTTTGACAGGATCTTTATATTCAGGATGCCTATCAAGCTCCATTTCTCTAATATATCTTGGTGCTTTTTCCCATTGGACTGGTAATTTTTGAATCCCTAAAGAAAATAATAGTGAGATTGTAGTTAGTTGTTTTGTGTTCTGTACTTACATCCAATCTTTTTGCAATCAAATCCATTGTAGTACTGTTCTTCTGTGGCTCTTTCAACTATTTCTCCTAGGTAGGGCCTCCGGCTTTGAAGCGGCAATCGATAGCCTGGTAGGCACCTGCACTGGTAACCTCCTCTTCGAAAGCCCCAACCATGAAGTGGTTCGCACTGCAATTGTAAATTATTTCTGTGGCGGATGATTTGGAAAATTAATGATTTTTTACCTCTGTTGTCCCTTTTTTGCATCTGGCAGTGTCTGTAAATCGGTTGGCACCGTCGTTACCTGGACCTTTTGGGCACTGATTAATGTCTATTCGGTCAAAATCCATTTCCACAACAGAAACGGCAGTGTATCTAAAAATTTGTAAGGGATATTGAAGAAAATGTATTGATTAAAATTTACATGCAATTTTTTTCCCTATGATGAATGACAAGCATAAACATCAACCCATATAACAGTTTTATTATCAAAAATACAGCTTGCAAATCAAGACCCATAGATAATTATTGCAAAACCAATCCGATTATCTGTCTATAGGCAGATAATTGTACCTTCATTAGCCCAAATGATGTTTGCATTTCCCAACGGCATCCCTCATTAACATAAATAACCCCCATAAATAAATTACCAAAAGGGTGAAGTCAAGTTATGTGAATAGCCTAGTTTAATTGTTTTAAAATTAGGGTCACAGCAGTTTAATTGCCTTTTCATCATGAGGGCGACCATAAATGCCGAAGCATTTAGGTTTTTGATATAAGCTATACTTGAACCCTTGTTAATAACATACGTTGGGTATTCGATGTGCCTAAATCCAGTATGTCTAGGATAAATATCAGCTATGGGTACTACTGCTGCCACAAGCCACCTGTTGGATCTACCACAATCGAAATAAGGCCTGGTCCATCTGACGGGTCCTGGGTTTTCGTCGGCTCCCCTGGGTCCGTGAAACGTGAACGTTTCATTTGTGTTGTTTGCATACCGTATTTCGACCTATAAAAAACCAAAATTTGATTTATTTAGATTGCTAGAATTTTCGTGACATACCTGATAAGTTGTCTTGGTATCGTGTCTGTTATTAAACAAATCGGGATCGGGTAACCATTTTTTGTACCATTCGTTTATCCTGTAATAGTCGGAAGTGTAATCGGCGCTAGTATTTGGCGGTACTGCTCCCAAATCCTGAACCGTGAATGTGTTTAATGTAGAGATGCGCTCCAAGTGCACGGGGTCGTTGAAATCGTCTGCACGGAACGTTCTGGGAGCGAATCTAAAATGTATTTATATGGAGATTGTTAGCAAAGGGAGCAATAGAAAACTTCAAAAACAATGACAACAAACTTAAAAGATAAGGAAGTACCTACTTAAGTGGACAAGATAAGGAAGTACCTACTTAAGTGGACAACCTTGACGACTTGAAAATGTAATGAGTAAAACAATTAATGACTCAAAATAATTAAGTTGACTTCTTATCCATGCATATAATAAAGTTGCACAATACCTGAAGACGGTTGACCTACCTGGGAAAGGTTTTATTAAAGAATCCCTTGTACGAACTCGAATAAGACATGTTGGGAGCAAAATAGATTGCACTAGCATTAATATGCTTATTCGTCGAAACATCAGCTACAGTGGACAACAGGTAGTACATCATCCCAGGATCGTACGTGTTATTGATAGCGGGCCTGATGAACCTGCTCTGTAAAATGTAGGACCAGAAAAAGGCCCTATTCAACGCCATGTTATGCAAGTGCAACAATTGCGTCCTGTTGGGAAACACGGGGTTGATGTTGACATCTTTAATGTCCGGCAGGTGGGAAACGGTGTCGTCCGGAAGATACAGGTCGCTCAAGTGTTGAATTTCGCAGTTATCCTTGTTCACGGCCCTCGTAGCTCTGGAGATTTCGTCGAAGGCGTCGCGACTCTGCCACTCGTATTGACCGTTTGCGATAAATAGATAACATAAACCGATAATAAAATATGACCACTGCATTTTCTTCCTATAGTTAAACTAAAATAGTAATTGGATAAAAACAAAGACACATTTTTCGCGGCGAAGACTTCTTTGTGCGTTGGTGGATTTGTACAAAGCCCTATCGACCTTTCAGCCCCATTGATTATCGCTTGACTGGAGGTTGAAAAAAAAAATATTCGACCCAACCCACCTAGAGCTCCACGAACGGGCAGGTATGGTCGTTGGGTTGTTATTTGTCCGTTTTGCGTTTTGCTGGGTTTATGCTGTGTTGTCAGATTTTCTTTAATAAATTCTTGTAAGAATGGACATATGTAGGTGAATGAAGAAGAAATTTTTTTTTTTTAGCAATTTATGAATTGAACCTTCTTGACAGTGTAACGTAATCTAATCGAAGTATTTTCCATGTGGAAAATTTACTGTTTTTTTTCCTGATTCTATGAGTTTAGATAGGTACTAAGATGTGTCCAATTTCAACCCCCATTGAAGTTGGTCAAGCTTCTTAATAGCAAAAGTTGAAACATGCTACTAGGAGATTTTTCGTCTGAAATCTTTCCTTAGCTTCAGAAATACTCTCCAGATCAAGTATAGTACCAATACCTTGATTTGAGTCTTTATAGGAGTACTGGTTTAGTGGAGGAAATCAGTTGAAGAGAAACCAGATATAGGTAGTGATAAACTTGTAGGTACCTATAATAATAACTTTCCAAAACCAAACTGACCCAGTCAGACGCATTGTAGATTTTCACGTTTCAAATTTCAATAGTCTCGAGCATTGGGTTAGTTTCTTATTCTATCTTCATCAAGGAGACAATTTACTAAGTGAAATCAAAAACTCATCAGCGTCTTAAACAACAAAATGATGGACATTTAACACCGATCAATAAATAATAATCTTCTAGCATTCTTAAGAATGCATGAAGATATACCTAAACGAAGTGAAGATCAAAAGATGCGTAAGAGGAGGCGGTATAATATCATCTAAGCTGTTCACCCTAGTCCTCGAAGATGTGTTCAAGAAACTACATTAGGAAAATAGTGGGATCAATATATCTGGAGAAAACTTCAATAATTTAAGATTTGCTGATGATATCAAAAACAGAGTTTACGAGAAATAAGCAGACAGACATAGGGTCACAATATTCATGGAACACCCACAGGTGAAACAAGTAAACTCCTATGAGTATCTAGGACAGGAAATAAGCAAAGTCAATCACATGGCCATTTGCACGGCTATCACTTAACTACCACTTAAGGGATATTCAATCTAAGTGGAACTTTAAATGTGACTTTTGTTTCTACAAGAGTCACATTCAAAGGTTCACTTGGATTAAATATCCCTTAAGTTATAACGGTGCAAATGGCCTACAAGAGCTTAAAATTGATAAGAGAATACGACTGGGATGCGCGACGTATGGTAAAATGCGCCACATATTCCAGTTCAAGTTACCATTGAAGCTGGAAACTAAAGTCTACAACGATTGTAGTCTGCCAGTAGTTGCATATGGAAGCGAAACATGGACGCTCACAAAGAGATCCTAAATAAGTTGCAAAGAGAGCAATCGGAAGGAGAATGATAGGGATCACAAGACCAACGAGTGGATAAGAAACACAACAAAGGTCGAAGACATTACACATAGAGATCTTCAAAATTTTCAGTTTTATAATTTTTGCAGTCTTATGTATAGAGACTTCTAAAAACAAAAACAATCCGATTTCCTCTAACTCTTGGCAACATCGCTATCATTTTCCATCGTCTTAATTGACCTGTGGCAATCTACTCATGTGCAGTGGGGGATCATGATTCACACTTTGAAAATAGGCGTGTTTGTATAACAAGTGGTCGGTTTTATTTTTTCGGATTTAAATTTTATGCTTAGGCAACCAAAGATGAGCCTTTTTTCTCTTCTTGATGGTATGGTGGATGTATAACTTATCGATTTTGGTTGTAGAATAAAGTCATAGATGTCGCCAAAGGTACTCATCCAAGGCAATATTTTACCGCCACTCAGTGTATACATTTGACTTCAAATAGAAGTTCCAAAATAAATTACCTAGGGTCCTACCGAGTCCAACTCGCGAAGCCACATACAGAGCGCTTGTCGCTCACAAATGCTTTGAGAAAGGTCCCCGGACCCCGGGTAGAAAGTACCGCCGGTTGCGACCGGTTAGCCTCGCCCTACGTCGTGTCATTGTCAGGGTGCAGTACCGGCAGGGGCGTTGGTGTTTGTCCGAGCACAGTTATGTTTGGAGTCCGGATCCTTTCGGGATCTGGATTACAAAACGGGGCCCACTCCGGCAGGACTCTTTTTTTTTTTAATTTGAAATTTTGGAAATATTCGTACATAATATCACTTGGCTTATGAAATAATAGCTCTGTTCCAACCGACATTAGAACGGTAATTTCCAGTCGATCAATTAATTTGTCAAGTAGGATAAACGTCCATTGAAATATAGGTGGGCAACTGGAAATTACTGGTTCTGGAACGGCTCTCATGTCGGTTGGAACAGAGCTATTGTTCCATCACAATTTAGAAAATCATTCAAACACAGGATAATTTCTAGAATATCTATCCTCTAGCTCTTATTTTTTTTTTCTACATTGTCCTCTACTCTTAGATACAGTGAATATTTTAATATCTTTAGTATTAAGTCAAATAGTGGTACCTATGATATCTACTTTGAGCTTAGAAATGTGTTACCTTTCCTTTAGTTTTGTTCTCTATCTCAAGATCTTTTCAGCCATTTCAACATCAACGTCAAGAAACGTAATGGCAGAACATGAAGGTATTTCTTCTCTAGCAGAACATTTATCAATAGGTCAAGAATGATGCTCCTTCTATGGTACTACCAAAGTTTGTAGCACGTAGGATAGTACCTACTATAAATTATATTCTTGAAATCTAAAGGAACATACTATACTATTATCTATTAGAAAACCACAATCAAAGTCTTATGATATTCTTATGATATCCTTATGAATAAATAAACCCACAAAAGTAATACCATTGTATAAGTAATACTGAATAACTGAATCAATAAATATAATTATTTAAAAAAGGAGAAAGAAAAAACCCAATAACAGACCAATAAATCTACTTAAAGTTATGTACTATCTAACTACTAACAAATATAATCTTGAACAGCACAGTCAACCCCATTCAAGCTAGTACCCGTTCACCGTTTGACTAAAACTGGAAATTTCTTGCCTTCCAGGTCGTTGTCTATTTTCTAGCCAACCTCACTTTGTTCTTTTCCCAAGCTTTCTTTGATAATGTCTTTGTCCGAATTTGTCTCAGTTTCGGTATGATTGGCCTAGAATTTTGACAGGCCTTGATCATTACCTCTTTATAAGAGCTGTTAATTCATTGTCTTTTGTCTTACCCACGTAATTTTTCTAACCAACGCGTGATTTGACGTTGTTGATTTCAGAAATGTCGAAATTTCTGTCTATAGAGGAAACTGATGTCTAATATGGGTCTTACTGTAGGTATACTACCAGAAAAGTTCTTTCGGTTGACAAAGTGATTTATCTATATCTTCCCAATATCCAATTATTACTTCTAAAACAGAATATTTGCCAACAAAGCACAAACATTTTGAGAATTGAAGATTCTCCTCTGAAAGTTCTATTTTGAAATTTTTGCACCACTTGCATTTTGCATGGCTTCGATGTATTATGTTCACTCGGTTACAGCTTCTATAATTTCTGAAATTTAACGCTTCGTGTGCTATTGACATCTCAAATATCGGAACAAGGTCAAAATATAAAAGAAAAATTTTGCCAGACAAGACCGTTTTCCGCTCAACTTTAGATAAAGCGTGCGTCTATCTGACAATAATAAATCGCGGTGTGTGTAATATTACAACATCTTTGGGGTATATTATATATCTCAGCTCAGCATGTTCGCAGACAGAGTCGCATTTTTGCAGTCTGTTCTGTCCCTCCGTCTTTGTTCAGTACGTTCACCTCTAACGAACATAGGAGGACTTTTGTAGCGGCCCAGACGAAACTTAAAGGCGACCTCCTTGCTGAAATTGCACCGCGGAACGCAGTGCCGTACGTCGTGGCACCGGCAATAATGGTAATTTAGGCGCTCCGATCTTTCTCATTAGGTGGGCTATTTTTGTTAATTTGCCCAGTGGCGCGGATGGATAATGAGAAATTATTCTTTTGTTATTTTAATTATGTTTATTTGGCTCTTTTGTCATTTTAGGTCTGGTGCGTGCATCTACATTATCTTTTGTAGAAACCCCAATTAATATTAAGGTGGTAGATTACATTAGATACCTACTTTAAATCTTTTTTGGTTTTTAAACTTTACTTGAATAGTTGTCATCATACGAAAGAGAATTTGTTCGCCATTGCCTCAAATATGAATAACAGTGGACTCAATAGTTCTTAATATCCCACCGACAGTTTTAATATTAGATTCTATTATCATGACTTCTAACTTAGTGCGATGTCACACTATGCGTTTTTAACGCTGCGGTAAGAAGGGATGCGTTTTGATCGGATGTGTCACACTATCCCATCGGGATCGGTTTTAATAGGATGTTTCTATTCATTGTTTGCGTCCACGGTAAATAAGCATTATGGAAAAAAGGTCGAAAGAATACTCAGATAGAAACTGTAGAGAGAAAGCCTGGGTGCAATTTGGAGAAATTATGAATAAGAATTGGATGGAGCTTGACTCAACGGAGAGAGATGAGAATAGTATATTATTTAACGAGCGGGTAATGATGGCTATTATTCACGAAGGATGAAGTTTGCACTACGAGCCGCAGGCGAGTAGTGTAATCATCCGAGTGAGTAATAGCCATTATCCACGAGTAGAATACTATACTTTTTCTATGATTAATAGAGCACGAGTTATGCGGTTTTTCATTCAATTTTCATAACAAAATTAATTGACAATTCTGACAGGTAGAGGACAAATTGAGGTTAGGTTAGCAAATGTTTAAATCAGCTGTCAAAATGACCAATTGGAAGGTTGAAGTATGTTGTCAACTTGTCGAATTTTCTGATTGGCTTTAAATAGTGGACTAATGAGACCAGGATATTTTCATTGGTTGAAAAAAATTGAGTAATGAAAAAAAAACTCACTGTATGAGTAATCATTCACATTGGTCAATAGAAAATGGATGTATATTATGCATATTATTCAACACTCATAGAAAAAGGTTATTTTAAATAATTTCTAATGAATACGCCATTAATCTACCAATACCAAAATTGGACTGGCGAAACATCCCGTTTAAATGGATCCCGATGGGATGGTATAACAAGTAGTAGAGTTCATCCGGTCAAAACGCATCCCTTCTTGCCGCAGCGTTAAAAACACATAGTGTGACACCACATTATTGCGGTCGTCTGGTCATGCGGTGCCGCCGCCGCATCCGGTTTGGGTGCGGTACAACGCTGTATGTGACAGCTCTCATTCAAGTCAATGGGTTCACACACCATTCCGGCATACCGGAGCGTTCTTGCCGCAGCGGTGAAAACGGTATGTGTGACATCACACTTAGAAGACGTTTCATATTGTATATGTATAATGACCGACCATTTAGGTTTCTATCAGACATCAAAAACTCAGAGCTCCGCATACGATTATTCTTTCGTAGAATTCTAACTTGAATTTTCTCCTTTTGTTGCCATATTAATAGCTCTATAACAAAACGACTTTGAATTAATTTTTTCTAAAAGAGTTTGGTTTTACCGTTAAAGAACCAGAGGGGTGCACGATTTTTCCTTTTTTTATTTCCCAGACCCTTTCATATTAATTACGAAACGTAATTGCGCTCATGAAAGGCCCTTTTATTGCACAATTTTACGAGGTTTCGTAGGCAGCCAGCAGCAGGCAGTGTAGGTACGCGAAAAATGGCGATACCCACTCATGTCGGGGGCCAGAGGGCCTTCGTGCATTTCCTCTCGGGGCTGCCATATGGCCGATATATACACTGCGATATCGTTGTAGGGAGGAGAAAAAATTTCACCATCCATCGTGGAGATCCTGCACACCAGCTTGCTTCTACTACCGTTCCGTTACTTTTTCATATTTTTACTTTGGACGT